CTACATGGGAGTTTGGGCCATTTTGCTAGCTATCTAGAGAGCATGTAGATAACATATCTTCCAAAGAACATACCCTTTTGCATGTACAGAGATGATTATACTTGTTATACATGTTACTCATTATATTTTGTTAAGCTCATCATTTATCTCATTGTAAACACCAAGAGAGGTAGAGGCAGAAGGAAGAAAAATGGTGAGGTCTGATGCTTCTCCCCAAACCACAGAATTATCTCAAAACTCTCCTATTCATAAATGAGACTTATCACTTGAAAATCTCAATTTGCACAGAGCAAATTATGCTATCACTGGCCAACCTATTTTATTTATTTTTAATAACTTCCCATATTGTGTGGCTCCAGACTACACATCACATGGCACACATTGTAAATGAGATACTAGATATCTTTTTCAAAGATCGTGCACCCTGGGCTGAATTTTTCATTCCTCTTGCTTACAGGGATGCCTTTTATTCCTTCTTTAGTGTTTTGAGCATTCACGTGTCTAGCATATGAAGCACTGCTGCAGTCACATGGCTGTGTGAACACAGACAGTTCAACTAGTGCTCCATTTCACACAGAGAAAAAGAGAAACATGAGATACAAGATAAACTGCGATGGCCGAGATCTGGCAATTGTTTACTCTGTCAAAATTTGGACCATCCTTGGAGAGGGCATCAAAAAGGCTTTCCACTGTGCTGTGAACATTTAAATTGGTTTTTAGTCCTTGCTTCCTTTTCAGTTCCAGGAGGCTTTTTAAGCAAAAATACAAGAAGTTCCAGTGTCTGGTCGACATTTACAGAGTACAGTAGTTTCAGAGTGCTTTACTGAACCCTGTTGAGGGCCAGATGCTCTGTTTCCATATTGTACAAGCTGCTGCTGATCTTGTTCATTGCCAGATGTGGTCCTGCATCACAAGAGTGCTGGCCCACAACCTACCTGTGGAGAGGGAAAGCCCAAAAGAGATTCAGCAGAACACCTCCTTGGTGCTGCTAGTTGCATGCACAAAGGTGAGTGAATGAGTATACTAGAATAGCAGCAACCTTGTCAAGAGATACTCAGCCTTGAAGTATTTTACCTGGGGTCACCCGGAAACCTGTGGAAGAGCTGGGAACTGAAAACCAAAGAAGGGCTGAATCCTGCAGCAGCCCTCTTGGCCCTTAGCATAACAGCCACTTTGGCTCTGACCAGGGCCAGAAATCCCAGGCTGATGAGAGGGCAGTGAAACCTCCAAGTTTGCAGATGATACTAAGTAGTCTGAGTAGTCAAAAGCCACGGTGCTGGTGAGGAACTCCAGGAGGACATCACAACATGGTGCGAGTTGACAAAAAGGAGGCAGATGAGCATCAGTTAATTCAAAGTAATACACCCAAGGAAAAATAACTCAAAGAAGGGGTATCTGATGCTAAATTCAGAAATGGTAGTTACCAGGAAATGGATCTCGGAGTCATCACTTACAGTTCTCTGAAATCATCATCTCAATGTGCAGTGACTGACAAAAAGCCAAGAAAGTGTAAAGTACCATGAAGCAGGGTTCTGAGAAGAGAGCTTTGTTTTGCTGCTGAGCAAAACCTTGGTGTACCCTTACCTCAGACCCTGGATGAGGTGCTGGTCTCCAATGTTTGAGGACAAGTCAGCAGAGAGTGACCAAGGGGCCTCCTTATAGGTCAGACAAGGCAAGAAGTCCTTAAGTCAGTAGTAAAAGAAACAGGCAGGGTGTCCCCTCCAACAGGGTGAACACCTTGGGGGGTGCTGGGCAATCACATGGGGAATGGACCAGTAAAGAGTGGCCAGGTTTACTCAGTCCTCCTCCCACTGGTGGAGATACAGTACTGGGATAAGTGATCCATCATCTGCCCCATTTTTCATGCTCCAAACCTGTACCTGACGGTGGCTGACAGCTAAGACCTAAGGCGAGTGTAAGAATAGGGTGCAGCAGACAGATGTTTCCCAGAATAGCCTCCTGGACATCAAGCATTTGTGGCTCACAGATTTCCCAACCCGGAGGTATTGTTTTACTTAGGATGGGATTCTACCTTTTTTAAAAATTAAAAAAAAAAAAAAAAAAAAAAAAAAGGGGGTTTTGGAGTAAATTTTGTTTCCCCCCCCCGGGGGATTTTTTTTTTTTGGAGGGGGTTTTTCCTTTTTTTAAAAAAAAAAAAAAAAAAAAAAAAAAAAAAAAGGCGGCTTTGAAGTTGAACTTTGTTATTAGAGGTGACATGCCAACCATGGGTAGGTGCCAACTGCAAGACTTTATTTTGACTGCTGTCTCATGAGGAAAGCTGGCAGCTGGAAGGGCAGGGAGGCCTGTCCTGAAGAAGGCGAAGAATTTAGCCAGGCTTCTTTCAACAGCCTCTTTGATGCTGGGTGGCTCAGAAAACAGAGTGGTGTTTTCTGTGTGCATTGCAACAAAATATCCTTTGATAATTGTCTTCTGGGTCACATTGGGTTACAGCTTGGACTGCTGCATTGACCCAACTCAGTGCAGGATACCAGGTTTTGCTTCTGGAAGATGCACTAGCGTGGGTTGGATGTATCAGGATGCTTTGTTGCTTCTGCTATCATGAAATTTCCTTTGCTTCTGTGGGAGGAAAACAACCAACTTCCCTTTAGTCTCTAGGTTGAAGCCAACACTGATCACGCACACAAGAGGCAACTAAGCTTTCGGTCTAAATGAAGAAACAGTTCTGTGTTCAGGAAAATGAAACTTGTACAGACCATACATTATTTCCTGCAAAATAAGGCATCTTCCCTTGTTAGGATCACAGCTCAAAGGCAGGTCATTCAAGTTGGTAAAATGTAGCACTACCTTTTTAAGATTGCTACCCAAAGGCCAGGAAAGTTTGTTGATTTGAGTTTTTTGGATTTTTTTCTTTTTTTCTTTCTGCCAAGTTCTGGCTCAGCTCAGGGGATCGCAGCTCTCTCTATGCCCTTTTCCTCTTCATCATTAGCGTGAGACCAGCCTGTGGGCCAGCACCCGCTGAGATGCATCCAGGCCTGCAGCAGTGGCTGATGTGAAGAGAGGAAAGATGTGGGAGGCTTCTTTTCCTTCACAGGGACGATGAAAAGTAAGGCTGAAGGACAGTGTCTGCAAATGTTCAGAGAAGAGCAGGGCCATGCTCCAAGATGCATGCCTACCCTTTCAGTTCCATCCACTTAGAAAGGCACATTCTCAAAAGAAACCCCAAACCCTCCTTTTTCTCTAAATTTTTAACATGCCGACAAACCAGGGTGACTACAAAGAAAGCAACATCAAGACATGGCTGCAGTTTGGTGGAAAGAAAGATCAAGAAGCCTAGAGGAAGCACCATTTTTTTAAATAACTACATTTTCTACTTTTTAAATATGTGCTTAAGAGCAAATGTTTCTATATTTTTTGCTTTTCTGTAAGATGGAAAGATGGAGAAGAGTATGAGCTAAAGATAGTTAGGACAGTAGGCTTCCTTTGTACAGGATAGGATCAGGAACAGCTTAAGCATAAGTAGTCTTAACATGCCTCTGTTCTTCCATACATTTACCCATCAGTTTACATGTTGATTCACAACACAATGCAGAACTGCTAGTTTTCTCTCAGAGGCACAACACAAAGGCATTAACTTGAATTTATATCTAAACACAGAGTGGTTGCATATATGTAGCTTGGTTCAAGACCATCAGCCTATGCACTCTACAGAATTTTCTCCAACAACATCCCTACCCCCATTAAGTCTGGCTGGTTTGGTTTTGGGGTTTTTTGTTATCCTGTAGAGGTTTAGGGTGGTGGTGGTAGGATGGACAAGGGTTGAAACAACAAATAAAGAAAAAAGGAACTCCTGGGAAACTTTCCAAATTAAAAAGTACACGTGCTCTTTTCTTGTTCAAGAGGTTTTAATAAAGACTCATATTTTTAAACCTCTCACACTGTACAACACATTTAAATGTACATCAAGCTCAGATAAAAAATAAAGCTTTCTTACAAAGTACATTTTTCCAGTGAATTTTTTTCCTTTTTTTTTTTTTTTGCAGTAAAAATAGCTGCTACATAAATCCCTCCTGATCTTTGAAAAGGAGTCACAGTTATTTCCAAAAATAGAATTCATATTTTAATCATACAGGATAAACTGCAGGAAGAAGAGACAAGTCAACTGAAAAAATAAGGCTTGTATATAAATTTTTTTTTAAAAGGACATGCATAGAGGTTGAAAAACATATGCCATTTATAAAGGAAAAAAAGGTAATTCTATCCATATTAATATTTTAATTTTCAGTTACAGAAGAAACCACAAACAGGCCCTTTATGTCCCAGAATATATCATTAGTTTCTTGTAAAAATGCCAAAATGCACAAAGAATTGCCAGCTTCTGTCTTGGCAAAATACTGAGCCAGCCCTCCCTCCCTGCCCCCCCCATTTCATATCATAGGCATACCATATGCATGCATACTGAGGACTTATGTTGTCTCTCAGGCCAATTAAATATTTGCAGAAGGCTGTATATCCTAGACAAACATGAAAAAAATTTGATAAGTCTACATTCATCCTATTTCAAAACACACATACAATTAGTTTAATTTACACTATACAGTATCTGTTAAATAGGAACGTTACAGAGTTTCAAAAAGAATCACAGAATATATACAAACTGAATATTGAAATGATATGATTTTCCTTCCCTTCTTTAAAGGGTCTTTTTCTTTTGTTAGCAGTTGCTACATCTGGTTTTGGACACAACGTGTTTATGTACCTATGCAGCACATTTCTGGAGTAGTAATAATAATATTAAAACGTGCTCTAGAGCAAAAGTAATATCGATTCTCCTTACTGGTCATTTAAAATAAATTAGTTTGTTGTGGTTTTTTTTTTTTTTTTAAATAAATTGCATGATGTAAGATGTAAGCAAGGATGATGGTATTTTGAAATATCTGAGCAATAGTTCTGCTGCATCACTGGTTTCTCATCCAACCTTTGGTTTTAAAGCCAACCCATTGTTATACAGCAGTGTAAGTAGCCAAACCACTTTATACGGCAGTACAGGTAGTAGAAATGCTTAACCCGAGAGCATTTCCATGTCTTCGTGACAGAGCTAGGGTCTGTGCTGACTTCCATGCTGCTCAAGTGCCTGACATGGCAACACCCGAAGCCACTGATGAAATAAGGCCACTTCCTTCCAGCTCTCCCTGGTTACAAAATCGGTTAAGGTCCTTATTTCCCAACAGTTGCACCCATCTGAACAGCCAGAAGAACTGACTGCAGTTGGTTCCCAGACACAGTCCCAATACGTGATCTTCGCCCCTGCAGCATCACGTCCTTGGGCTCAGTCCTCCGTGTCAGGCTGCACCCCCAGCATTGCATGCAGCTCCTCCGCCGTGTACCCCAGCAGGTTCTGCAGGTCGCACACGAAGCGATACACGTAGCGTTTCCCTGAAGTCTTGTGGATGATATTCTTGTCGTAATAGTAGCGTAGGCCTCGGCTGAGCTTCTCATAGTTCATTTTTGGCTTGTTTTTCCTCCTTCCCCACCTCCGTGCCACCTGTCAGTCCAAAAAGAAAGCAAAATGTAAAGGGTTTATTCAAGTCATGTTCTTCTAGTCGGTGGCTGATAAACACAGTTATTAAAACCCTTTCTCAGTCAGAGCATTTTATTTGCTTTGGATGTCCTAGACTGATAAGAGAAGAGTTGGTGACTGACCCCGCAACTGAACATGCTCCGAGACAACTATTAGCAGCAGTTTCAGGAGAAAGTGGCTGATAGCAAATATCAGTGAAAAGGACACCTATTTGTATTGGATGAGCCAAAACGTGCTTAAGGAGCTCAAGTTTACAGGTCATGTAGTCTCCTCTCTCAAGAAGACACCATTTAACTGTTAATTTGCTATTGAGCAGCACGGGACAGCTCTTTAACTGGAAGTTGAATGACATGAAGTTCCTTGGAGTTAATTTCCCCCCCTCCTTTTTTCTTTCCCCTAAATAAAGGCTTCAGTGGACTTTACATCACATCTCGTAATACAATAACTTCTTTACTGATAACAGTATCAGAAAATGAAAATGCATTCTATTTCTTTTTAATGACTAAAGCTATAAGTTCTCAAAATATTTTAAAAGCAGCACTGCCATATTTGTTGTATATCTAAAAGAATGGCGATACGCAGAGTGCATTTTCCCCATGCCTTCATGCAATCCCAAGCATTGTTGATTCAACTACATCCAGTAAGCTAATCTACAGTATTATACTGTCAAAAGAATTAACTTTGTATACTACCCTTAAGTTTCAAGCTATACAATGTGTTCTCCTAACTACAAGCAAATGCTGATACCCCTGGGTGGGAGGAGAGGTGGGGGGAACATCCCACAGCAATTCTGACTGTACAATAAAGCATTTGCAGATGAAGAGATTTCAGCAAGTGTCTGATCATGTAAATGCTTTATATTCAAGACTAGGCCCACAGATGGTGGATCAGACCCTAAATCTTTTTGTTCATCACAATTAGCCACATACCTCGTCTGGGTCAGCAAGTTTAAATTCCCATCCATCTCCAGTCCAACTAATGAATGACTGACAGGACTTGTCAGTCAGTAACTCCAGAAGGAATTGCCATAGCTGTATAGGTCCACTGCCTGTTGAGAGAGAGGGGGTGGGGAGAAACCACAATTAACACTTCTGCAAGCTCTTCCCACAGCCAATGTATGCCACCATACTCATATCACAGGACAGATCTTGTAATTACTCTGATTTACCTTTTTCTTTTTTAATATCAGAAAGAAACCTAAGGTCTTTTTCTATAACACAAATCTGCTCCTAAACATGTTAAAATTAAAACAGCTTTTTCACGGAAACACAGGATTTGACACAAGCCATGTCTTTCCCTTTTATATGGATCCCTTAGCCCTCACTCCCACCTCCCATCAGTTGCATTTCAAGCTCCAGGGCTTGTCCTGCAGTCCTTGGCTTGGCAAGCGTTCTAGAGGAAAAAACAATTTCAGCAAGGACTATAGAAACAAGGTCTTAACAGGCAAGCCAACACCTGCGGAAACTCACAAGTTTGAAAAAGAGGGATACTTGGACAAAATCTCCCAAACAGATCAAAAAGTGCATTTGATTTTTACATGTTCTGATGTACCTGCCTGTTCTTGCTTTAGATGGATAGTCCTATGAGACTTTAGTAACATTTAAAATTGAAATTCTTCATTAGTAGTGGTCTCTGACTAATTTGTAAGGCATACCTTACAAGTATACAACTTTATCACCATGGTACACATTTATACAGAATATTGAAGTTACACAAGAGGAGTGACCATTTTGCTTCACTACTTACCAGTAAAGCCAGCCAGAGTTGCTGCTGGTATAACTGGTTTCCCTTGTTCTACAGGATCACTTCGTTCTTGAATATAGTCTTTGAAAGACATTGTAGGTTTGCTCAGACACAAGGACTGGCTACAGTCATCTTCAAAACTCTCATAGGATGGCACACGCTGTAAATCCACTAATGACGACTGGCTGTTCCAGGACTGTAGCATTGAATCTGAGCTTTCGTAACTTTCTGCACCACTGTCACTAGATTCGTGTTCTCTAAGCTTACCTTTATAAAACAAAAAAATAAAAAAGAGAAAAGTGTTGGGTTTGTTTTTCTTTTCTCTCCCTCAATCTAGCTTGCATATATAAATTATGCAAAGGAGGAAAAGACATACAGAATATGGCCTTGGACGCATGGTTATCATGCGGATAATGACTCACCAGAATTATCTATCAGCAAGTTCAGATTGCTTCTCGGGAAATCTTGATTTACTGCACAGTAGTTCACACCAACAGCATCTGCTTGGGTTTTAGGGAACAATGAAAACTCCTGTTCTGGATTAAGGAGATTCGGTCCTGTGGAAGTCTGACAGACATCAGTCAGGAGACTGGGTTTGGGATAACTGAGGGCTTTAGGGTATCCAGGCATTTGCATACCATAGGAGTTCTGATCTACATTAACAGCTGAAGAAATAAATAAAAGAATTAATTAGATGATTTTCTCTGCAGACCCTTAAACAGACTAGTACACCTCTAGCACCTCACTACAGTTGTGCCACCAAGAAGTAATTTTCCCATGAAAATCTGACTGAAAGAGTGATAGATGCTACAGACCTACTGGAAAGGCTGCTGAGGTCAACGAAAAGATCCCCATCTAATGGGCTCCAAATCAGATTCTGTAAATCTCCCTCTATAACTTGCCAACCACAAATATGTCTATTGTTTGTTCTTCAAGGAAACTACAGGGCTACAGAAAAAGCTGGAGAAGCTTAAGTGGTTTTGAGTAAGGCCCTCATCATTAAGTGGTGTAATAACGTCGAGCTGGAGATTGACTGTGGTAGAATGAAATACAACACCACTCAAACAATCTGAGGGAGCTAACACTGCATCCCACACACTTTCAAAAGCTCTATTACACTTCCACAGTCTTCAAAAAGGCCTAAACATAACTCTTACTGCTCCCCAGTGATGCTAGTTTTTGACTCGGTTTGCTAGAGGTGAGAGTGGTCATTCTGCTCCACAGATGTATGTTTTGGCATACCAAGAGGAAATTTGATTTTCTCAAAGCTTTTGCTCTTCAAAAGATTTCCGATATGAATTAGATGGCAATTAAACAATACTAGGAAAGAAGGCTGTAGCAATTGAAGTCAAGTGTTCTCCCCAAGCACAGTAACTATTCTGGTGGCTTTTTTTTGTTTTTAAACTGGGATCTGTGACATGCTTAGAATAAACTGAGAGATGTAAAATGTCAAATTTCTTAAAATACTTACTTAAGGAATTATTATTGACCCAGTGAGGAACTGAAGTGAGATGAGAGTTCTCCACATATTGATCCTGTGTTTTCTCTTGGCTGTCTAGGGAGAGAAGAAAAAAAGAAAATTTGGTTTTATAGTTTCAAAAATATGACCTTTATGCCATGAAAAGCTTCTGACTCTTTTGAGTATTTTCGGGTCATAATTCACATAAATTTTACTAACACACTGCATTGCAATCTCTCTTGAAAAAAACCTAAACCACACACTGAAAAACCTAACCAACTTCCAATAGGCTTGGAAACCATCATACCAATTGAATTTTAACATAAAACTTAGAAAAACCAATAATTGCAGTGTGTTTTAAGGTCCAAGTCCTTAATGTGTGCAACTACTGAATGTTACACTCCAAATCCAATGGAACTCACAGGGCACTGCATGTAGGGTTTTAGCAATACCATCAGTGTTCACCTAAGACACCTCTAGGTGTCTTTGACTTCTTTACATTCATTCACTGAATTACCTCAAAATACTACATTAAAAGGAACAAAATTGAAAACTTGTAATAAGTAGTGAACAAATTTTGTCCAACTCTTGGTTAATTTTTTTTTTTTAATGGGGTATTACAGTAGCCTTATCCTAATCTCATTTATTTCAGTGATTATTCCAAATAAAACCTGACCACAATAGGTACTCAGCCTGAACGCAGAATGATTTCTGCAGATACCTGCATCTGTGCTTTGTGTACCAAGGATGTATTAATAGTTCTGATAATGCTTTTATTAACCAAGTTTTAAAGTTCATTTTGAGTTTTGATATGTAATAAAAGCCCTTCATAGTGAAACAAGTATTGAAAGAGTCCCATTTCTGTTTCTGTTAGAAAAGCCTTAAAACAAAAGCTCTTTCTGGCTCTGTAACTACCTTTTATCATCTGTTCCAGGTGTTCCCACAGAATATCACCCACATAGTCAGGTGCCAGTTCCAGAAAACGTTCCTTGCCCAGGTTGCACAAGTCTTGGCCACTCATAAGAAACTGATGGAAGTTCACATTTGCCAAGCTGAACTCATTGGTAGCCCATGAAAGCCACTGGCAAACTTGCTGTTCAGTCCACAGCCATGGATCTGCAAGACAAAGTATTCAGCATTTAGAGATAACTCCTGACCTTTGTCAAATAATCTTCGTTAGAAGGCAGTGAATGAAAAAATTTGTTTAGCCAAGTTACTTAGTTTTGAATGAATTCAGAATGAATGTATTCTTGAATTAAAACAAAAAACAAAACAACAAAAAACCCCAAACAAACAAACCAAAAACAGTCCTCTATTTTCCTTCTGCATTCACTTGTAACCAGAGATGTCCTCAGCTTACTTGATTCCCTCTTATGCTGCCAAAGCATAAGCTCTCCATGCACCCATTTTTAATACCAGCAAGTCTGGTCTTTCCAAGTCAAGCTGTGCCAGATTCACATAGGATCCATTCTTGTATTTCCTACTGACATCATTCTTTCTCTTTTGAAAGAGCCGCTATTCAGCCTCCTCCTTAGCATTAAAAAAAAGCAGCTTATAAATAGAAAACACTTACTATTTGGGATACCCAGCCGACACTGTTCCTTTGTGAAACCACTGAAAGTATCTTTCAAGGCCTGACTCATCACAGCCTTACTGCACGGGGTTAACAGAGGCAATTCACAGTTGTTCGACTCTACAAGAAAGAAAAGGGGTGGAGGGGAAAAAGAAGATACATTAACTTTTAGGCCAGTGAAAGGAGTGACAGGTTTTTGCTGCGCTATTTGAAGAATAAGAAAAGGATGCTAGAAACTAGGTATTTTAAAAACAGAAACAAACAGCGTAGATCCATTTTCTGATACGTGAAGTCAAAGACAATATATTTTTAAGTCTTTGACTTAATATATCAACACTAAAATCTCTGTGCTACTGGTTTGATAAAATTGCATCATGCTAAATTAAAGCTTTGCAGCTTTCCATGATACAGATCCTCATTTACTCTTAGTTAAACAAAGTGCCTTTGTTGCAGGGAAGCTTTACTATTACTTTTTTTTTTAAAGGAAATATGAGACTGCTTATTCCTCTTTTGTCACCTATAGTTTGACTTCAGTTTTCCTTATAACTCCGGACAGTCTTCATCTAGTTTGAGAGCTAAGTAACTGATAGTAGGGTTGCGAAGAACCAGCTTGCAGTATTTAACACTGCTTTCCAGTGGACTGTATTTCAGAGCTTCCCATGCATCTCGCAATCACCCACGTACACGGTGCGATAGATTATTCTATCATCTGAACCAAACAAGTGGGACTGGTAACAAGCTGGCACCCAGTGCCTAAATAATGCAACAAAATCCAAAAACAAGTATCATCCTATGCTAGTACAAATTACTAATCTGCTTAACTGATTTCTAAATTTGCAAGTAGATTCCATTTTAAGGAGAAATTTGGCCTCCACTCAGCCTTTCTTATTGCACAATTTTCACCAGAAGATGCCTCATTTTACTCTGAAAGAAGAACTTCTAAGTTGAAGATAGCCAAGCTGCCTAGATGTTTCCAATTAGGAAATCTTTTACTGGTATTTTGTTTGTGATTGGTGTCATTAAGCTAGGGGTAATTTGAAGACAACTTAACCCACTCACTACTGCATCCCTGAACATCTGAGAGCCTCTGAGAACTGACACACAGGTTGCATTTGAAGGAGCTCTGCTGTGTTAGAGCCATATAATGGTGGCAGGGTACATAAAGGTGATGAACTTAGCAGACTCCAAGTCAGTTCATGAAGCTGTGCAGCTCTTCTCGTTCTCCTAGACTATCTACAGGCTCCACTTGACCCAGCAAGTGGAGCTCATTAGCAGCCCTTTACCACACCCATCCTCAATATCTGCTAGGACTTGCTTTGCTGACCAGAGCAGGTGACTGATTAGAATAACATTAGAACAAAGGACTAGTGGTTTTCAGAGGTTTGAGGTTTTTTTTTTTTTCCCTTCCCTAAGGGGAAATAAAGGCAGGATCAGGTAAAATATCTATGTTTTGGACAAAACTCCTGTTTCATCAGGGATTTTAGGCAAGGATTTGTAGAGAAGTCTTGGTAGGTACTATCCTACATACACACACACAAAAAAAAAATCTGTAAAACATCCCCACCCCTGTTTTTAAAGTATGGAGTAAAACATACTGGGATTTAACACCAGAAGGTCGAGAAAGGAGCCTGCAGAATACTTGCATTTTAATTATGGTTGAGATGTTGCAAGTTTAGATATACATAGAGTTTGTTTTTTTTTTTTTTAATTTTTAAACTCTTAGCTCTGCTTTACTACCTACTAAGTCTTCTTCAATGGACAGTCAGTCTATTAGGCTACTGAATCCCAGTTCCCATTCCTTTTCAGTACAGACAACAGCAACTATACACAGAGCAACTCATATGGATAAAATCAAGCATGTACACAGAAGTCTGTGTACTAAAACACTTCTTTTTAGGGAAATCCACGTTGCACTTGTAAGAGTATAGCCATGAAACATTAGTTAGACCCCACAAATTTCTTTCTGATCTGCTGACTGGACTAAGGAACAAAGTGAAGAGTTACCATAAGAAGTAGAATCAAATCCTGTTGGCACTTCTTGAAGCGTCTGATCTTCATTTAGTGAGAAAAAATATCCAGCAAAGAGAGAGTTTGAGCTATCAAAGGTGTCAAATGCTGGTTGACGCTGCAAAGCAACAGAATAAATAAAAACCAATGTGAGCATTTTGCTAGAGCACTGTCAACTTCATTGCTAGGAAGTGGCTGGGTTAGGCTTCCTAGATTTGGAGATCATGCACAACCACTATCTTAAATCAGCTAACTTGTGCTTTCGAAATATAAACACAATGATAGTATAGCTTCTTGTACAGGAATACAAAACAACTAACATTCAGACCACAGTGCTAGGTGGGTGGCATGTTCTGCAGGTTACAGTAAAGCAAAGTAAGGATATTCTTAGTTTTCCTGTAATTTAGGCTTTCAACAATAGAGAATGCATGAGTGTGTGTGGAGAGAGAGAGAGAGATATTTATTTCCAGGTATATTTTAAAGAAATCCTTATTTCCTGAACCCTTTAAACTGACTATCCACTTGGTGAGTACTTGATGGCAGAGGCAGGATCAGTAACTTATGGAAGAACAACTGCCAGTGCAAGACCTACAGTAGATTTATGCAGCTTTTTTTTTTTGTTTGGTTGTTTTTTTTTGTTGTTTTTTTTTTTTTAAGGAAAAATTTAATCTGAACCACCTCACTTGAAGCTATACAGCCAGCTTTACAGGACTTGAAGAAGGATGTTACTCCTTTGCTGTGACTTAAACTTAGCTCAGATGCTCAGTGAAACACTGCTAGTTTCATTATACAGAAAGGGATAAAGAGGACTGATACAAATGTTCCAGATAAAAGCAGATTCTACCGATATATTGGCAACATTCAATTAATATTGTTATATTTTGAAAACCTAACTTCTTTCAAACTTGACTTGTGTCAATTGTGTATGCTAGAAACACTAGTACTTTTATTAGATCCTCTCCAGCTACATTAGTCTTTGGGAGGCAGAGAGAATGTTTTTAAAGTTATTTCCTCCTCTGTTAACAATTTATGCAACTTGGCTGTTAGTCACAAGGAAACTGTATCTGTAGTATCTAGAGGCACAGATGGATAAAAGTTGCCACTGAGGCTTTTAAAAGCACCTGAGGATAGAGCATTGTTCTGGAAAGCTACAGCTTGCTCATGGCAGCTGCTGCAGTTCAGGGAGCTGGAGACAAAGGCAACTTGCAAATGCTTATTTGTTTTAGGCATCCACTGGTCTGCCAGCTTATGCCAAGGTAGAGGATTTAGCTGAGGACAAGGCAAAGATTTTTCAGGGCAGTATTGATGTGCAATGCAAAAGCAACCTGAACTATGTTTCTGGAATAGCAATATTAATTTCCTCACATTCCAATTTTCCTTTTTATGTCACCACAAAGTTTCAAGTGGCTTGGAATCTTCTTGCACCAGGTGCCTTCTGTGTGCCGTGTGTCCTCTCCTTCCCCTATCCCCCCAAATTACATTAACCCTAGTAAGAAACAAGGAACCATAATTTTTTAGTTGTGTTTTATAACAAGCTGCAATGCATCCTAGTACATACATTATGAAAGCATACACTCCACAGAAGAAAAAGCTGGTAAAGTAAACAATATCATGACCCAGTTAATTGGGTTAAAAAATCTCCACTGAGCACTGGCCAGCAGAGACAAATTGTGTACGGTTGGTTCAGGTACCCCCCACAACTACAGTCAAAGCTAACCTGTGAAAAGGCTCACATCTACATGAAACAAGTTAATAACAATTGCCAATCTGCTAGTAAAAGATTCTTTATACGTTACTAGATAAAAGCACTGACTCATCGCTAGTACCTAAAAGAAAGGGCAAGTTCTTTCAACACAATTTGGAAACTCCTGCGTTTTGTGTAAATAGCTGACCCTTATCCTGAGTCACTGGAAAAAATGCTGTGGCATGTGAATGAGTAAAATCCATGCTGTGCTAGTTTCATATTTCAAAAAGGAGAAAATTAATGTTTAAGCAGGTTCTTAACTTAATAGTAGTAAAAGGGGAAAAACTCAATGTAGAATAAATTCTGCTTGCCCTATCAGTTATGCAACCATTTTATTTGGCTTTTCAACATATGTAAGAGTAATTATTACAGAGCAAAATAAAAAGAAGTGTGAACAGCTACGAAATAGTAGAATACAGGTTGCTACTTCGACTTAATTAGATGACAACTGAATACTGAATAACTGCTTAGAACAACCACTGTGTTACAGAGCACACAGCTCTGTGTTGGGGGATCTCTTATGGATTTTGTTGTTGTGGGCAGGAGAGAAAGCTAACAGAGGACATAAAATATCAGAGAAGTTAGCATACCAGCATCTCACTAACTGATCCTTCAAAACATGGACATTCCTCAAAGTTAATGAGAGCAGGAAGTGTCTTCCTAACCTTTATTTGGTTTACATTAATCAATGCTGTGTAAAAAATTGATACTGGGATTAAAAAGCAACTTGCATGAATGGGGAGGAGGGAAGCCCTTAAAGACTCAGTCTTTATAGTCTGCTTCTCATTTATCCTCGGTTTGTAAGTTCATTTCAAAGCAAGGTGACAGACACAGTCTATCTAAAGATAAAATATACTTAATAACTACCTTTGGTTTCTTACAATGTATTGGACTTCCATTTCACATAGTTGCATGTAGTAAGTGAATAACCTACTTTTTTTTTCATGCAATACTTTTGAATGAATCAGACCTAACCAGTCATATCAGAACAGCCCTCTGCCAGTCTTATCAAGTTAAAGATATAAAGACCACCCCTACTGCCAATCCTGTAACCTTTATTTAGGCAAAAGTTCCACCAACTCCAACGAATTTGAGCTCAGTTCTTGTCAACCTCTTCTTTTCAAATTCTTAGGATTTGGGGGATGGAAGGTAGGAGCCTCCTTGGGGGAGAGGGTTGAGGGTGCAAGATTTATATCTTCCTATTTAAGTTCTGCTTTTCACATATCTCCCGAATTCAGTGGGAATACTCTAGAAGAAGATTAGAGGTTACAAGCAAGCAATTAAAACCTGAATATCTGTGTTCACTTTGGCATGGTTATACAATTCCTGAGCTAGCATTAATAAGACCACAATAAACGCATTAGCTGGGAGATGCCCTAGTTGGGTTTAGAAGGTGGCAGCTCAAGAGTACTCACCTTGAGCATTCCTCTGTACATGTTAGACACAGGTGCTACTTGATCCATGTTCCTGATCCCAAAATCACTCATCTGAAAAATGAGAGGGGTCACATGAAAAATGTTGCTACCGAGGAAGCAAGCATGTTAACAGATATATCTCGCTGCTTCAGTACAGATTACAGAACAGCTCTCGGAATGAGATACAGGTAAAGCTTTCCTTCTCATTGCTCACATCCTGACCACACAGGGCACAATGGTCATCTAGCTTAAGCAGCTTTTTAACTGGAAGACCTTTCACAGGCATTGCTGGTGTTAAAGTTATATGAAATGAGCGAACAAGAGGACGGTTAGCTTCTGATACTGAATGTGAGGGCTTTTAGTACCTTATTCTGTTAGCCTGAAAAGCCTGCAGAAGTCCTTTGTCCACCAAGTATCTATTGCTTTGATCTATTCTCCAGCTTTCACCCATTATCTTAAACATTTAGTTCTGAGTTATTTTTGCTTACTGTATTTCTGCTCACATGCCATGATTCACTTTGGACTTCAGCTTTCAAAGGAAGGAAGAGAAGTGACAGACCACTCGCCGCGGTACACCTTTACATACCAACATTCACCCCTTTCACCCTTTTAGGAATAATCATTGAAGTATATTTATAAAGCTTTAGAGGACCTAAGTTTTAACTGAAAAGGGTTTATGCAGTAAAATACCCCTTTTTAAAGAGTTGATAGCGGGACCACCATCAATATGTTCATGTTATTGAAGTCAAAGCTGTACCATATTGCCTGTATTACCAGGAACAGGGTTGTGTGAGGCCTGTATAACTTGTTCTCCTATATATCACTTAAGGAAAAGAGTTATAAGATTCATATCCTTTCACTGACCTATGGGAGAGATCAAACATAAGGCATGAAGCCAGTTTTATGGCCATTGTTCAGGTTTACCGTGATGCTGTAATTCAGGTGTCTGTGAACGATACCTTATCAGACTACACTGTGGCAAGTTGTCTCTCAACAATTTTCCTTCTCCTTTTTCACAGCATTGGGCTAAATTCTCTTGCCCAACAGCAACTGCCTGAAAACGTGCATTTGTATTTAAATAGCCACATAGGACACTATTAATATTTCCACAAAACTGTGATCACTTATTAGAAGCAAGCTCTCTCGTTAGCCATGTTAACACAAGGCGAAATCAAAATACAATCTTAAACTCAGAAAAAGATGGCAAATTAGGAGTTTAACAAAATAAGCCCAGCCTGTTAAAACGACAACACATTCAAAAGCTGTCCATGTAAGCAAAGAGGAAAATAAAAACATCTGACAGCCATAGACAAGGAAACTTTCATCCTTTCATATAGTTGACCACTTAAAATCAAGACTTCTTAACCTGAAAGGCCCATTTCAACTTCACTGTTTTCAGACGTATGGGGCTTATCATTGAAATAAAATAAATCAACTGACTATGAAAGGAATATTCGCCTTATACTTCATTAATGTTACCCAAAACTGCAATCTACTGAATGATGGTTTTTACCTCAAACAGCATGTGCAAATATTTGATCTAAATTATACATCTCATTGAGCAGCAAAGAATTTCACACAGCATGCGTCTCACTCAGCAAGCATCCTAATCTTCTCATTAAGTTTGTCACGGTTTAAACAACTGTTGATCCTTGCATTCGGCTGGACTTTTAAAAAAGTATAAAGCAATTTCTAACACCCTCTGTTTTGCCTTTGAAATCTGCTCTGGTGGCTAGGGATAACTAGCTGTAAGCCTTACCAATCAGAAAGTATTTGTGAAAACATTTTACATATTTTCAGTAAGTTTAGACCTGATCCCTAGTTAGGGCTACAAATCAGATTTCTGACACTTTCAGGTGCAATCCTGGCCTCTACACGAATCCTGTTAGGAACTTCCCCGTTGACTAAAAGGACTGGGATTCTCTCCTTCCTGTGTTTTTTTGTTGTTGTTGTTTCTTTAGAAATGTTTAGGGTCCTAAGACAAAAGGTTTATACGAAGTCTTCATTACATGGCATTGCTTATTAACCCAAGTCACTGTTTCTCTACGCTAGGCTGCCTGTTTGTTCTGTGGCCATGCCTTTGTGCTACACATCTTATGGAAAACTAGACATCAAGCTCTGGTCTAATAACATATGAAGGTCTTTAGCATGTTTTGTAACACTCCAGTTTTCTTCCTGCAACCAAATCTCTCATGTTGTTATGACTATAGCCTTTGTTCGTTGTGCTTTCGGCTTTCTCCCCATCTGCAGTACAAGTTTCCAGCCCTGAGATCCGAAACCCTTACAGAGGTATCAGAGACAAGCGGAGCTGAAAAGGCAATATGGCTTTTTATGACAGAAAGGGTTAAAGCTGGCTTTCTGCTGGACTTAGAAAGCTGCTGTTTAAGTTCAGAAAAGACACTACGGCACAGGACGGTGTGACTGGGCCTCACTTCCAACTCCTCCACGAATGCTGATGACTGCTACTTGCCAGCTATAATTGGTTTAACTGGCAGGACACCTTCTTCAACACCCCCGCATAGCTGAGTGGGTGAACCAGAACAGGGTCAACAGGATCAGGCACTTATTAACTAATACTCCTGAATTCTGATCAACTTCTTTTCAGCAATAGCCAGGTGCTCACCCACAGCTGGATTCAGCTGGGAATCAACCACATGGAGAACTAAACCACACCACTGTTCGTAACGTATCTCCACTGGTTTTTTTTTTTGTTGTTTTTCGGTTTTTTTTGGGGGGGAGGGCAGGGAGTGTCTGGTTGTTGTTTTGCTTTTAAATGGCAATTTTTTCAGACAAAAAAATTTCGTACCAATAGGTTAAGAGAGAACTGCCTGCCCGAGGAGCGCTGATCCCCCGTACAACTATTGGGCTCCCCAAGTGCTGATGAGAGAGATAGCCGAGGGCTGGTATGACTTTTGACACATATGACACACTCGCCCACATAAAAGTTAGATGGGGAGATCATACAGCCCAACATTTTTTAAGTCCCTTTAAAGTACTAACCAAATCCAGCGTGCGCGCTGCCCATTAACCCTTTCCTCCCGGGCGCGCAGCCGCCTCCACAAGCCACCCCCGTCCACCGCCGCTGCGAGCGCGTCCCTGCCGCCCCCGGGCTCAGCCC